GCAACTAAAGATAACTAGGGAGGGTCATAATGGACCACAAGTTAAACATAAGTTCAAGTGGAGTGCTACTATTAAGGTGATATGAATTGTGGTAGCCAGAAGCTTACTTTTGAGCTGTACATCCTATGGCAAAGCACTTACTAAAAAGCTACATTTAATTCTGATTTCCCTATTTTGGAAAGAATACAAGTAAAATCCCGTTACAACAAATACTAGTATGATGGAAAATATAAAACGCCATATCCTTTAAGACGTGGAAACGTATGTGGGTGTATACAGCTAAGTATATGTGTGATTTGTGGAGGGAAGAGTGAGTATTAACAGCTAAGGATATCAGAAGATTCCCTTCTATTTAGAGGTGACAACATGAGCTGAGATTTGAGGAGTGTGAGGAGAGTGAGGGCAGGCATGAGAGATGTGCTGTGATAGCAGGAGATGGAGTACTGAGTTCTGGGAAGAGCAAGGAGCCTTATTTTCTTGGAATATGGAGTATGTGAAGGGGAGGAGAAAGCTGCTCAGGAGCTTGGAGAAAATGGAGTGAGGGGGAAAAGTGTGCCGACAATACCTACCTCACGCCCTGTTGTCAGTACATTTATATATTTCAAGTTCTCTGTGGAAAAAGAGGCCGGGCTTTTTTTTTTTTTTTAATCTCTAGCCTCTGCAGACTGAAAATGTGATTGCTACCAGGGTGCCACAGTGAAATTTCCCTACAAAGAAAAAATTAGATGCCCCTTGAATCATTGAAATTTGTGCTAGTAGAATCTGATCAGCCCTTTGTAGAGAATGGAAGAGGCTCAAAGGAGGAAAATTAAAATTATATTGACAGTGTCATTTAATTTAAATGAAATCTATAAAGGCAAAACCAGTATGCTGTGAATGGAGGGAGAAACAGTTTGAAACTTTGAAAATTACTTATTTTAAACTACCTTAGGACCTGAGAAAGAAAGGATCAATTTTATTCTCACACTACTTCCCTATGAAATGGTTAATAAAATTTCAAATATGCCATGTAACATCACATTACTAAATGTATTCTCATGAATTGGCTAATTTGCAGTTACTTGATGCTGAAAGTAAAAGTGTTAGTGGACAGAGAACAGGTCGATAGAGACATTTGATAATAAGGTCTAGGAAAGGAAAACTAAGATCTGAAGCCCATACGTGTATTCCTCTGATACTAAGTATTAGCTTAATAACTTCTGGGGACTTCTTTGCCGATAGTCATATAGATTTTTTAAAAAGGCACTATATTTAAAGGAAAAAAAGCTAAAAGAAGACATAAACTTTCTTAAGGTATCTGAGAGAGTATTTTCCTAGTAGCTCTCCTCAAGAATAGAAGAAAATGAGTAATTCCAGGGATGGATTGTGCCACTGAAAAGGCTCCGAGCCCTGATTTTGCAGCCATAACCCTGAATCCTGTTAGACCTATCAAGGTCTTGCCAAGGACTCAGGAAATTACCCTTCTCCCATAAACACACCCTCTGGGCCCCATAAAGGTTCAGAGTTGAAGTTCCAAGGCCAGGAATTGAAGTTGGCCATCAAGTTCAGAAATAAAAGTAAATACTTCTTGAAATGAAAATGGCATCCAGTTTCTCCAAGCTGTGGTGAGTGGATCACTTCTGAACTGAGAACAGTTGTCCATTTGCCACATAACATGGTGGGTAGGGGGTAGGGTTGGGAGGAAATATGCCCTTTGGAGAGTAATGGGCACAGCAGTGGCTCGAGCCCTCCTTTTTCATGGAGGTCATCCAAACTTACCTTTAACCCTGCAGCAAACACACTGGCCTTTTGCTTTTTTACCACATCTGGAAAATTGTATTGAGTTCTCAGAACCTAGGCTTTGGTAGTGGCTTTTGCAGAAAGACATGAAATGTAGTATGTGCTGCAACATGATCATCATCATTGTGCCCCAGATCCATGTATATATGTTGGCAGGAAGAGGGCAAGGACAGTCTGTTTCAAGTTTTTGCTTTCATAGTCTTCATTTCTCTGGGAGATATTTAAAGACAGTGCATGAGCGCCCCCTACTGTTCTTACTAAATAAAAGGTCTTGGGCGATGGGGGGGGGGTCTTGATGTGGGGCAAACCTCAAGGAATCACATTTGTTGGCTAAGTCCCACACCAAAGACATCATTTTTAACAGATTCAAAGGACTTTCAAGGACACATGCACACAAACTCACATTCACTCTATTGAGCCAGTTCAAACTGGTACCCACACTTGTGTGTTTTACAAAGTTTTTGAAGAGCAAGAAAATCAAACTGATATGGTTCATTTAATTGAAAACCTAATTCACATCACTTTTGGCCCTAGCCCCCAGATTACCTTAGGTTCTTGTCTAAATGTATTTCACTTTCATCCCTGCAACATGCCTAGGTCGACCTGTTCAGTATGAAGGATTGTATTGGCATCATGGGTTCCAGTGGAAACTTGATTCTGTTCAAGTCCCTGGCAGAGGCCCTTGTATCCTAGCAGCTAAGACAAGAGTCTGGAAGACCCTTTCCTGCTTTGGGCTAGCAAACCACAGCTCAGGAGACTATTCTGAATTATTCCATGGCTCCAAACCAGAGCCTCCCCCAACTCTTCTCCTCCCACACATTGCTCCGGGTGGAGGTTTTCCCCATAGAATTTGGCCTCTGCACTCCTCTCTCTGGCTCCTTTCTCCAAGGCAAAGTAGCATCTGGAGAGGTGAGCCTTCTGGGAAGCAGGATGAAGGGGGCAGAGACTGGTCCTTCTGAATCAGTGGAGGGAACATGATGTCCTGCTGGCCTAGACTGAAGCAGCAAGGAAACCTTTGTCTCCTTCCACTCAGCACTGGCCCAGGCAGAGAAATAAAAGGAAGCAGATGTCCTGGCCACCCTGTGAGGGAAACAGGCAGAGGACTGCTAGGGTGGTGGAGGAATTACCAAGTCCCAACTGGGGGAAGAGAATAACCCCAGGTCATTGGGAAAGAAGTGTCAGGAATAATTTCTTTTTAAAGAAAGCATTTCAGTGCCCAGCTGACCCCTTAAACACAAGTCTGAACCAATAAGCAGCCTACCTGGCATGAGAATCGCAGGTGAGAAGACCCTCACTCAGGGCCATGAGTGTGCTTGTGTACCTGTGACCTCTCCCAGCACGTTCTCCCCTTCCCTTCTCCTATATGTGCCCTCTTAAATGCTTTTCTTTTGAGCTCACAAGGGGGAGGAAAATCTCTGCACACATTTTTCAAAAGTCCAGGCCCAGAGCTAGCCCTTGGGTAAGTCACTAACCTTCTCTAGGCTTCAGTTTCCTCAAGTGGTATGGGTCAAATGACCAGCAAGATTCTTTCTAACCAGTACAAACATCCTCTGACATTGTTCTGTACTTCAGTAAGTGACTCTGGTCAGATGGCCTCACCACCACTTGGGAATCAAGACACCTGAGTTCTGTTCTCAAATGGCAATGGGCATCGTTTATGACTCATTTTTAAAAAGCAAGTTCTTGCTTCTTGGCACTAATCCCACTTTTTAAAATATACTATATGTAAAACATTTTGTAACTACAAAGAGTTACTTAAATTTGAGTTGTTATGGTTAAGCAGCCCTCAAGTTTGGATCAACTGGTCTTTTACTCCTTATCCCTAATCTCCCTGCTCCCTTTTCCCTCAACCAGATATTCATTGAAATGAGCACTTAGCACAGAGCAGATCGCTTAATCTCCCTGTTTTCTAGGTGACTCTGACTATAAATCGCCGATCAACTCCCTCTACCATTGAAGTCACAGATTCAATCCCTATCCGTGGTGCTCTGTCACTGTCTGTCTCTTTTCTGCGACCTTCAATGCCTTGGGCCTTCCTTGATCCCTTCTCCCTTGGGTTATGAACTTTAAAGTAATGCCAAGTAAAGGGTCGGATACAAGAGTTTATTCGTTAAGTAGACTTTTGATAGTGAGCCAGCCTTGACTGGATACTTAGACTGTGCCTGCCCCGATAGTCTACACTACCTCCCCCTCCGGTGTTTTGAAGATGATGTCTGTAAAAGGATCATCTATGACAACACCCTCATCTTACAAATAAGAACACTGAGGCCCAGAGAAGTGACTTGCCCAAGGTCACACAGGTCGTAAAAACACAGGACTCAGAATTCAGCATCAGTTGCACAACGCCGTGCAAAGGGTCCAACTGACAGTTTCTTTAAGTGTAGAGAAGAGCATGGGTCTGACCCACCAATGAGGCAGTTTCAATCTCAGGGGTGTGAGCAAGGAAAAAGCCTCTAAGTGGAGGCAAAAGAACCATAGTGGAAGAAAAGTTCAGTCAGCCAAGGGGAAAGGGAAAGTTAGGTTTGCATCTTAGGAAAACCCAAGCACAGATCACCCCTGCTGGAAGATTCTGAGACAATGGAATGGACAGACAATGGAATCATTTCCACTAGCCCCTGGAAAGAACTTGACAATGACTGTAAGGAATACACTGGGGGAGGCATGATGGCTGGAGTTAGACCCATGGAATTCCATGCTCCTAGTCCAGGACTGAGGGAAGAGTGCTTTGACATTCAAGGATTGTGTTTCACATCCTTTGGGCTATGGCCAGGCCATCATCCCCAAGGTCTCCTACCCCAGCTCCCAAGGACCTGAGCTCTGAGGCAAAGTAACTTCAAACTATGTCACCCATTAAGAGTAAATGCTTAGTAAATGTGTGTTCCCTGTCCTACCATTCCTAACCCCCACTTCCACCCCCAAACAAAGCTTGCCAATTTTTTTAGTGGTGAATCTGGAGTCAGATATCCTTGGGTTCAAATCTCAGATTTACCACTTGGTAGCCATTACACTGGGCAAGTCATTTCACCTGTCTGGACCTCAGTTTCTCCATCTGTAAAATGAGAGGTTTGGACTAGGTAACCTCTGAAGTCCCTGTTTGCCATGAGCCTATAATCCTGTCAGGTGGAATTCCTTGCTTCCTCTGCCTGGGCCCAAAGAAATTGGAGAGAGGATAGAAACACAGTTTGCATCTCCAGAATCAAGTAAATTTAAGGACACAAGTGTAGGCACGCAATAATTTATTTTCCGGATCAGTATCTCTTAGTTTGCAAGGTTCCAGATTTTGCCTGTGTGGACTGCATAGAATATTAATAACTAGGCCCTTAATTAAAGTTTCTTGACTGGTTGGTAGACAGTCCTGGGATCCACAGCAGGCCTGAAAGATTGGTCCCTTTGAAGATTCCGGGGCCATCAGAAGTAATCCAGACATCAGAGAAATATCTCTGCTTACATTTTCCAGTTTTTCTTCTGGGGGATGGGCCATCCATTGAACACCATCATCCAACTGTGGAATTCATGCATGATAGATTCTGGTAACTGACCATCCGTACAGATGAGCCCCTTGCTGACAAGGGGCAACAACCCCGTAAGAGTCCCCTCCCCGGGCCTCCGTCCGCATCTTCCAAGTTTACTTCTGCAATTGCCACCAGCAGGTATGCTCTTCTAGCCTACGCTTTTACTGCCTTTCCTTCCCAAACTCCTCTGCTCTTGGTTCAATCCTGCATGCTTATCCACAGTCCATTCCATCAATCCCACTTAATAGGGGATGGACCCATGGCAGGCTGGCCCTTGCTAGTAGGGAATTATGGAGTGGCCAGATGGAGGGGAAGAGGCTGGCCATCCTATTGCCCATGGGGAGGGCACGGTAGGAGGAAAAACCTCAAAGATTATTTGAATTTAAAATATGTAATTCATTTCATGCCCTGAATACTGCATTTGGCTACAACTGAAGGAGACTGCAATAATTAAATTGTGTTTTACTTTACACGCTTGGGGTGAAGTTTTTGGATTCAAAATGCAAATTTATGTCAAATAGGCAAACATCAAATTTTGTGTGTGTGTGTGTGTATATGTGTGTGAAATTGAAAAAAAAAATTTTTTTTCTATCAGTCCTTCTGTGATATGGAGCAGAGAGCAAAGGAAAAGCAGGCAAACACTGTAGCTTCTGAACCTATGCAGCCTCCCCCACCCCTCATCTGGCCCTCTCTCTCCAGCACTGCCCCCCCAATATAATTAGTTCATGTATCATAGGGAGAATAATTAGCAAATTTGTTAACTAGGGTCCAAGTGGAAATAATGTTTGCTTAAACCAGTGTGCAGGATTCTTTAGGAGCATTAGCATCTTAGAAAGCTATTGATAATTTTCTATTGATATTTTCTATTGTTCGCCTCAAGTCACAGGGAACTCTGGATTAGTCTTAAAACAGTGAGCACTAGGTTCTGATAGGTCTTACATTCACTCTTCTGAAACTAACCAAAACTTAGCTCTTATCTAAGAAACATCGACCAGATATATTTGTATACACGTGTGTATATTCCCGTTCTTTGGAGTACGTATGTACCAGTACATGTCTTCTTTCCTCTCCACACCAGATTCCCAGGCAACTTAGTACCCAAAAGTAGCTCACGTGATTGAATCAAAAGGATGGCCTTCCTTGGCAAAAGTATAAAACAAGAGGGTTGGGTGGGGGAGGGGTGAAATGTATGCATACACACACATACTCCTGACCACTTTCTGCCCCACCCACCCCTTACCCCATCAAAAACAAACAACCTGCTCACCCTTTAGCACTAGAAACATGGACCTGCTCTGTCCCTTACAACCTTTCCACCTGCCAAGTTGACCCAGGCCTTTTAACATGGCCTGTTCTTCTCTGGTGGCATAATACCCTGACCACCCAGGGATTGCTGGTACCATCCTCCCATGCTAGGAGACTTCTCTCTTGAGTTTCATTCTTTCGAACCAGGCTGTCTTCTACTTTGGGAAAAAGCTGGGGAACTCCCATGATCTTGGGAAATGCACGCATTATAATAAATCTGGAAGCAAGGCCTGCTTTGTCCAATCTGGGGGAGTAATAATAGAAGGGGAACATAGGACCATGGCAAGCTAGTGAGGGAAGAAAGTTGTGGATAGGCATGTTCTGTGTCAATTCCATCCTCTCCTCCCTCATCGGACTATTGTGGAAAACAAAAGCAAACTTTGCCTGGGAATGGAGTGCATTCACCCTGGCTGCTGAGTTTGCTGCTGAATACTTAGCAACTACACCAAGGACTGGAATCTTGTAAAACTTTCCCCTTTAATGTATATTTGGTCCCCAATATCTTCCCTGGGGCTCTGGCATCTTAAATACATTTGACTGAGAAAGCCCAGAAAAGGGCCCTTAACAAGAACAGAGCAACAATTACAATAATAAACTGTACATATAAGTCATTTCTTTGGGAATCATTTTCTGATTCTTTCTATTATCACCCTTCTCCCCCCCCCCTCAATTGCAGATCACAGTTCTCTCCCTCATCCTGGGCCCCAGAAGGGGGATCCATTCACACACTTATCTATCAACCCCAGTGCTTTATGGGGTCCAGTGTGGACAGAACCATGGCCATCCTCCCTTTTCCCCAGACACAGCAGAACAAGTACAAGGGGTCAGATTGAAATGAGAAAATCAACAAGAGGCCATTTCCAGGCCCTTGGACAAGGAACACCCAGTCTCTACCAGACTTCTAAGCCCCAGGAGGTCAGAGATTGTTTTATTGAAACTCTGTACCTCTCCTAGTACCAAGCACTATGTTCTCCACACTAGATCCCCTTTAAAAGTGTCTGCTGATTTGGATTAAATCGAACTCTTCTCTAGCTCTGAGGAGCATCAGCCAACACTGACCCTCAGTGGGCCATCCCAAGCACAAAAGCCAAGAAAGTTTTAAATTAAAAAAAGTTAAATTTTCTTATCCTGTGCCTGAGGCAAAGAGAATCCAAAGTGTGGAACAAAGGGAGGTTCTAACAAGAAGATATTGTCCCTCCGTGGTCCAGGAACATCACTTAGACTAGGAATGGAACCAGCAGCCCATCTATGTGTAGGACACTAGCCAGCACACATGTACCGTTATTTCCCCTTCTCAGAGTAGGGGGAAACCTTCCCTCCTAAAGCAAAAGCTTCAGGAGGCAAACAGCCTGGCACTTCCTAGAGAAACCTTCTGTGTGTGTCCAAACTCTAGGCAGGTGCTGCCCCCTCCCCCTAATCGACTCCTTTTACACCTCTGAAGCCTGCAGAATTTCTGGGCCTCTAAGGTGTCACAAGAGAGACCACAGGGCTTGCTTGTCTAGAGAATAAAGCAAGACTGCCATAGCACTTTATTACACAATCTGGCACTCCTGTGCACACCCCACCCCCCAACCCCAACCCCTGAGAGTGCATAGATCTAATAAAAGGCATTTGTGAACTGGAGTGGAGGAGGGAAATCAACTCTGGTGTAAAATTATTAATTTAAAAAGTATTAAAAACTACACACACACACACACACACACACACACACCCACAACAACAACAACAACAGGAAGTCAGGAAAAACAGTTCAGCTTCCTGGTCCTCATTTTCTTCAGGGTCAGGCATGGGCTGAGCTCCACAACCCAGAGCCTCTGGCCATAGGTACTGACCGTATAGGATGTCGTAGTCTAAGCAAAGTGGGGGGACACATTTAGAGCTTCTCTTCAGGGAGAAAACACAGAAGGCTTAGCAAAGTCTCTCAGATCCAGGCTCAGGGATGGGGTTGGGGGGAAATTTGTGTCCCTAAACTTCAGATACTAAGTTGAGACACAGGTTCTGCCCATTGCTCCTCCATACCCATTTCCTAAGAGTTTGTTTGAGGCTGGGGCTGGGCCTGAGGTAAGTGTGAGGCTCCCAGGTAGAATCACGGTCTCCAGAGACAAGAGGATGCAGTTCATATCCTGGAGGGACCTCAGGGGAGGGACAGGTCCATTGGCCCATCCTCAGTCTTCATATGTATGTGTGTGAGGAGAGCATAGCACATTTAGGGTAACCCCTACACTCCTGTCTTCTCTTTAATCCAGTTCCGAAGCACGGAGACTCTCGTGTAGACACCTGGCTTGTTCCGTCGAGCACAGCCTTCACCCCAGCTCACCACCCCAGCCAGGAAGGTCCGTCCATCATTTTCCACACTGGACAGAGGGCCCCCTGAATCACCCTAAAAGAAAAGAAATCCCACATCACATGAGAACCCTACATAAGCACTCCATCTCCTAGACCCCCTCAATCACTGGCCTCTATAACCCTATGCCAACCCTCACTTCTCAAACATCTTCAATGCCTCCTCACCAGTTCACCTCTCCAACACACCATCTTACACACACACACACACACACACACGCATACACGCACACATTCATTCTCTCTCTCTCTGTCTCTCTGTTTCTGTCTCTGTCTCTCCTCTGTCTCTCTCCTGTCTCTGTCTGTCTCTGTCTCTCTCTGTTTCTATTTCTGTCTCTGTTTGTCTGTCTGTTTCTCTGTCTCTCTCTCCTCCCTCTATCTGTCTCTGTCTCTAGGTCTCTCTCTGTCTGTGTTTCTATCTCTGTCTCTGTCTCTCCTCTGTCTGTCTCTCTCTCCTGTCTCTGTCTGTCTGTCTCTGTCTCTCTGTTTGTATTTCTGTCTCTCCTCTGTCTCTTTCTCATCTGTCTCTGTCTCTGTTTCTATTTCTGTCTCTGTTTGTCTGTTTCTCTCTCTCTCCCTCTCCTCTCTCTGTCTATCTGTCTCTGTCTCTCTGTTTCTATCTCTGTCTCTCCTCTGTCTGTCTCTCTCTCCTGTCTCTGTCTGTTTGTTTCTCTGTCTCTGTCTCTGCCTCTCTCCCTCTCCTCCCTCTCTCTGTCTCTCTGTCTCTCCTCTTCCCCCAGCCCCATCACAACATCAGCCACTCTTCTAGGAACCTTCCCTCTCCACTCCAAAATTGGCAGCAGCCTACCTGGCAGGCATCAATGCCTCCATTGAGGAAGCCCACACACATCATACGGGGGGTCAGCTGATTGGGTAGCAAAGACTCGCAAGTGGTCTGATTGATCACTCGGATCTCCCCCTTCTGTAGGATCAATGCCCCAGTGCCTGGTGGTTGGGAAGAAAGCAGAAGAACATCAACTTGGCTCCTCTATTGTCTCAGCTTCCCGCAGTAGAACGACATCCCCTCTGCCCACATCCAGATAGCGCCCTCCCCACCCCACCCAACCCCGCCTTTTCCTAAGAAGGAAGCAATCAGAGTCAACATTCACCCTGGGGACAGAGGAGCTACCTGTCCAAGGAAGTGAGCCCAACAAAAAGGTCAATGGGGAATGAAAAAAGGGAAATTAGGAGCGGGTGGTGAGGTGATCAACACAAACGTGTGACAGAAATAGAAGGGAAATTCTTTTCAGGGCCCCTCTGAGCCCATGAGCCAGGCTCTCACCTCCTTCCTGAGTGTGCCCCCAGCCTGTCACCCAGATGGCCTTGCCCGCAGGGAAGGTGTGGGATGAATCAGGAAGGCAGATGGGCCGGATTACAGTGCTGAACTCGACAGGTTTGTCCAGCTCCATAACAGCAATATCATAGTCAAAGGTGAAGTCGTTGAAGGCAGCGTGCCGGATGATCTGTTTGAATCCCCTCTCTTCCACCCCTGTGGCACTGTGCTTGCTCTGGTCATGCAGACCCAGGTAGGCTTTCCATAAAGAGGGCTCAGAATATCTGGGAAACAGAAGGAGAGACAATGGCACATTAGACAGCACGGTCCTTGTGGGAACAAGGAAAGAAGGCTGGAATGGAAAAAAGAGGGCTCTGGATGCAGGACTTAATTCTTTTACCGGTTTATTCAGTGACACTGTGCACACACCACGACCTCTGTGTGCTTCAAAACAGGAACACTGATATTCATTATTTCAACAAATATCGATTAAGTTCTTGCTATGGAAGGGAAGTATGGTGTTGTAGGAAGAATGCTGGGCTTGGAATCAGAAGACCCCAAGCATAAATACTGCTTCTGATGCTTAATAGCCGCCTAAGCATGAGCAAGTCAGAGGGAGCCGGACAACGTTTGTTATCTCAATCCAGGTCCAAGGGCCCCTACGCTGAACATTCATGAGAAGACTAAAGTCAGATTCCTCAACCCCCTGTCCTCTATTCCTCAAATCTTCTCAGTTTCATTATTTCCTCTCCTTTCTCTCTCATCACAGAAAGGGAAACATCCCTCATGTTCACTAAAGTTAATCCCTCTAACTATCTTCGGCCCCACTGCCTCCGCCATGTTCCCTGACCTCCGACCAGCAGTCATCCCCTGTCATTCACACGTATCAATCTCTGCCTCTTCACTCCAGGGGAGAGAGTGAGGCTGATGACTTTGCACAGTCCTGCCTCACTTAAATCCAATTCATTTGCAAGTCAAGACATCACCCTCCAGATGCCATTCTCTTCCAGAATGAAGGATCAACAACAACTTTTCTTCACCTGCCTACAAATATCCTCATGTCTTCCCAATGATAAAAAGGCTATCAAGTGAGGCAATTGGGGTTAAAGACTTGCCCAAGGTCACACAAGTTAGTACGTGTCAAGTGTTTGGTTTGAGGTCAGATTTGAACTCAGGTCCTCCTGACTTCAGGGTGGGTGCTCTATCTACTGCGCCACCTAGCTGCCCCATAAGGCTTTCATTTGACCCAGCCATCTACTGTCTCATATTTCCCCCCTCTTCGCTTTTTTGGGGGTATTCATTTTATGTTACTTTGCTGTTACATAGAGCATTCTTACAAGGTTTTTTTGGAACTACAATCAACAATTAGCAACAAACAATGGTGGTTCAAACTTTCTAAGAAATGATCATTGGACAAATGTGACACCCTCTCACGGGAACACAAATCTGCAGTTTATTAAGAAATGACATGAAGGGGCAGCTAGATGGCGAAGTTGATAAAGTTGATAAGCTGAAAAGTTGATAAAGTTGAAAGTTGATAAAGTTGATAAAGCCTTGGAGTCAGGAGGACCTGAGTTCAAATCTGGCCTCAGACATTTGACACTTACTAGCTGGGTGACCTTGGACAAATCACTTAACCCCAACTGCCTCACCAAAAAAAAAAAAAAATGACAAGCACTTTAATTTGCCAAAAAGCAACATTTGTATTCTGGTAGTTACATGCTACTTCTATTATATAGTAAAGTGGATGCCAGAACTAGGGAAATTGTCCAATGAAACAGCAGCAACAGAAGAGTATGAAAACCTTGTGTAGTCACAGATATACTATGGACTCCAGGACTTATTTTACAGTAGGCATATTTCTTTTATTTTTTGGAGGCAATGTGGATTAAGTGACTTGCCCAAGGTCACACAGCTAATAAGTGTCTGAGGCCAAATTTGAATTCAGGTCCTCTTGACTCCTAGGCTGGTTCAGACTTTTTTTTTTAAAAAAGAATGAAAAATAGTATACTTTAATCTGCATTTAGACTCCATCAGTTCTTTCTCTGGAGGTGGATAGCATTTTTCATTATAAGTCCTTCAGAATTGTCTTGGATTACTATACTGCTGAGAACAAACAGCTAAGTCATTCACAGCAGATCATCGTACAATATTGCTGTTACTGTGTATAATGTTCGGGTTCTGCTCACTTCACTTTGCATCAGTTCATTTAAGTCTTTCCAGAATCTTTTTTTTTTTTTTGGTTCAGATTTTTAAATACCAGATACACTTTAGTCCTCTACGTAAGTGTTTGGAAGTTACTTATGTTTATATGAAATGAAGTTATTAATATTTTTTTCCAACAGTAGTTGCACACCAGAAAGGCCAGGACAGACACAAAGCAGGGAATGAAGTGTTCCCAAAGCTGCAGTGTGAAAAGACTATAAATGATTGATTTCATGCACATGGATGGTTCTCTGCTATAGGAAATCCAAGTGGAGCTATAAGGAATGAAGGCGTGTAAAAAGGTTTCTTGGGAGAAAGGAAGATGACATGGGGTCATCTTCCTGCATGAATTTTAATTTTCTGCATCTTCTGCAACATCAACATTCTTCTCTGGCACTGTCTGATGTCCCTACTGTTAGGTTGTCTCTAAGCAACTCATTCAGTGTATCAAGCTCGGCAAGAGCCTCATCAAAAGCTGTTTTAGCCAATGTGTAGGCGAGCTTTGGGTTATTAAGCAGCTCACAGTAAAATACAGAAAAGTTAAGAGCCAGCCCCAGGAGAACTGTTTGCATCTCCTTCTTGCTGCTGTCAAATGCTTCTTGGGAATTATCTGTTGTTTGTCTTCAGTCATGACCACAGGCTACTTCATCAAGGTACAGAACGGATATTATTTCAGTAATCTAGGCAAGACGTGACAAACACTTAGAGCTGCGAAGGCCTAAAGAAATCATGATATAAGACCGTGCTCTCTGGATTAGTCACATTGGCTATTAAAAACATATCCAATAATAATTCCAGGATGGTGGTGCAGATGGACTCCACTTTCTCCCAGGAGTCCTTGACCAACTTCATCTTCTTGTCAGTTTTCTGCTCAGTGCTGGAAATCGCCCTCCCAGCTGACCTGCACACAGCACCCCCGCAACCCAACTGCATTCTCGTAGACCACCACAAGCAGACTGCACTCCTCGTTGGACAGCTCAGGCCCCCTCCTCGGTCATCACCCTCGTGGAGGCGGCCATTGTCATAGCACTCAGCCTGTTTGGCCAGCTTGACCTGGATCATCTCGGTCTTTTCCATAGTGGACAGGTTTCAGGTGGGAGTGGGGGCAGTGGCAGAGGCAATGGCATAGTAGCAGCAGGACTGGGGAGAGAGAGAAGCAGCACCGAGGACTGGGGCAGGAAAGAATCAACCCAAAGCAGGAAGAGTCCTTGAAAGCCTCCCCACTGGCCTCAGCCACTCCTCCCCCTTCACTTTTAAACATAAATAGCAATCGTTTCTGTTTTGGCTAGAAACTCTGAGGTTCTTTCTCTATCAGATTGATTTTTTTTTAACTAGGTAAAGAGGTCATTCTCTGCCTCATTTCTTACCTAGCCTTAATCACTGAATGGATGTTGCCTCATCATATTGAGACCTGTTAAAGACCTTAGCTTAAAAAGGCCAAGGTCTCCCACTGCATCCAGGGCCATCTCCAGTTGTCCTGATCAATATCTGGCCACTAGACCCAGATGGAGGAGAAAGTGAGGCTGGTGACTTTGCACAACCCTCCCTCACTTAAATCCAATTCACTTGCATGTCATGGCATCACCTCCCTGATGTCATGGTCCTCTTTGAGAACGAAGGAGAAACAACAACAAACTGCCTGAAAAAGCTGTGACTATCCAATGGCTCTAGATTCTCATTACTCCCTTTTCCTCATGTTCTAAGGCCATGGATGACCTCCCATTTACCAAACTCGGTGGCTTCCTACTGGCTAGTGTCTTCTTCCTAAGTTTGAAAGATGTCATCTTCTCCTGGTTCACATAGCTGTCCACTTACTCCTCCACTGGGAATTCATCTTCTTTCCCTCTTCCCTACGCCATAATGTGGATATTATTCAAGAGTCCCTTCTTGGTCCTCTTCTTTTTTCTCTCCATATCTTCTTTCTTGGTCATCGTCATCAATTCCCTTGTGTTCAATTATGACTTCTGCACAGATGACTTTCCAATCTATAACTGCACTTCCCCCCATTCTCCTTCCTGACCTACAGTCCTACATCACCAGCTGCCTGCTACACATCTCCACCTTCATATCAATAGACATCACAAACTCAACAAGTCTAAAACAGAATTCATCATTTTCAACCTTCACCCCCCACCCAAAACAAAATTGCACCTCCTGCTTTCCTATTGCTGTTGTAGGCACCATTATCCTTCCATCTACCAGGTCTCATGACCTCAGAATCATCTATAACTCTTTCCTCTCTCACTCACCATGCCCTCCCCCATTGCTGTTGTTCAGTCATTTTCAGTCATGACCCCATTTGGGGTGTTCTTGGCAAAGATACTAGAGTGGTTTGACATTTCCTTCTCCAGCTCATGGAAACTGAGGCAAACAGAGCTAAGTGACTTGCCCAGGGTCACACAACTGCTAAGTGTCTGAGGCCAGATTTGAACTCAGGAAGACGAGTCTCTCTGACTCCAAGCCCAACACACTGTGCCACTAGCTGCCTCATTCCTTCCCCCCAGGCATATCCAAATGGTTGTCAGTTTGCTCTCCACAATATCTCTTGCATCTGTCTCCTTGTCTCCATTCAAAATTCCACCAACCTTGATTCAGTGTTCCAATCCTAGTTCTCCTACTTACTAACTATGCAACCTCAGACAAATAACTTGCCTCTCAGTTTCCCTGTCTCTAAAATGAGGGTGTTGGACCTGATGATTTCTTAAGGCCTTTGCAGCTCTAAGTCTATGATGCTGTGATAAAGCTGTTATCACTACTTGCCTAGATTACTGAAATAACATCCCTCTTCCATCTATCCCTTTCCAATCCATCCCTGCCAAAATAATCTTCCAAAGTCACAGGTCTGACTTAACCACATCATTTCCTGACTCAGTGAGTGTTCAGTCCTAAAACATCATTGCTTGCAAGTGATCATGGACATTAAATTAGCAAGTTGCCCTGTGGTCTCCATTATATTATAGTATCTGCCTAACCCAGACTCTCCACTATGGCCCTTTTTTTTTTTTTTTTTTTTTGGCTAGGCCATGGGGTTAAGTGACTTGCCCAGGGTCACACAGCTAGTAAGTGTTATGTGTCCGAGGCCAGATTTGAACTCAGGTCCTCCTGAATCCAGGGCTGGTGCTCTATCCACTGTGCCACCTACCTGCCCCCACTATGGCCCTTTCTAAAAAGCCCTGCCCTGTCCATGAATTGGCATGACTCATGAAAAGACCAAAATGCTTTGTAAAGTATTTCATAAAACACAAAGCAGGGATACCTGTTCAATACTGCAAGGAGATGAAGGAAGCCCACAGAAGATACAAGGAAGTGTCCCTTCTCCCCATCCCCCCATCCCAACCCCATGTGTTCCAGTCCCTGGTAGAGCCTCTATGAATATAGCCACCTACCTGATTCCTAACTCATCAACGAAGCAATGGGCTGCAGAGACAAGCCAGGTGGAGGAGATTAGTGATGCCCCACAGAGGTGACCCTGGCCCTCTGCATGGAGGCTCACCTGCCACGGCCACTCTCCTTCATCTGAGTTCTGGCCTCCAACAATCCTTGACTGTTTACTGAATGACCGGAGTCCACAATCTATTGAGTGATGGGAGAGAACTCAGGTGGGGTGTGTGGGCTGGGAGAAAGAAGCCCCCCATGGCCCAAAGGCCCATTCTGCTGGCCCCAGAGAATTAAAATGGAGACTTTTCTTTATGAGCCACCTCAGATATGGACTAATATTATAATAAAGCTATAATCATCAAGGGCTCTGACATGCTTCTTTGAAGCACATTCCCAACTGCCTGGTCAGGTCAAATCTTCCCAAGGAATTTTAACTCCTACCCCCGAGTCTATCCCAAGAGACCCTTTGGAAGCTTACGTTACCTGTTTTACCTCCCTTTCCCCCTGGCTGGAGTGAATTTAGGAGAGTTCTGATTTTTAGTTACATTTTAGTTTCAAAGCTTTTAAACCATTCCTCCTTTACATATATTTACATACAGCATTTTAAGAGGCTCTAGAAGAAAGGTAAATTCACTTAACTGCTACAGCTGTATTCAAATTCAGGGCTTGAAACACCTGAAAGGCAGCCCAGATTCCCAAACACAGAGCTGACAGGAAGGAGTTGGGAAAATGGCCAAGGAAAGCCACATTCTGGTTTTCTCCCTTCCTGACGGCCACAAAGGCTAACATAGTAGGAGGCTGGCTCCCCTCAGCTCTTTTCTACACATCAGGGGCAAAGAGAAACCCAAAGTGACGGGACCACGTCTGGGCCTGTCCTGGATGTCCATACCACAGTTCTTCTCATCCGAGCCATCACTGCAGTCATTCTTCCCATCACACTCAGGGTTCCCTTTGCTCAGACATACTCCATTGAGGCATTTGTATGTGTATTTGGTGCAGGGGACAGTCTCAACTGACAACAAAGGGGAGAAAAGGTCAAAGCTGAGGATGGGGAATAAGACTCCATTCTCTCCTGTAGTGCATGTTGTCAGGGTCAGGAAGTCAGCACCAAGGTGAAACATCCTTGCCACACTCAGACATAAATTACTTCAACCCATGAATTGTTTGTTTTGTTTTTTGAGATTGGGCCTCCCTATCTCACGGACACTGGACTGGCAGCAGCCACTCAAAGGCCTAATCCCATGGCTGATCAGCAGGGAAGTTTGGACATGTTGCTTTTCTGACCTAAGCCGGGTTGCCCTGGGCAGTCTGGTGGCCCCGACTCCTGAGGTTTACCATATTAATGCAGACACTCATGTGGCTTTAGCCCCACTGCAGTTGGGAACTCCCAAACTCAAGCTATCCATCAGGTCCAGCTTCCCCAATAGCAGGAATTATAGCAGACAACTCCATGCCCAACCCATTAACTTCTAATATAGTCTGCAGCCCACCCTGCCTCGGGACCACCAACTCATATCCCAACCATGCCTCAAAACACTTGTCAAGATTTACCACCTTGTAGAAGTCTTCCTCACTTCCCATTCCTTTCCACACTGCTCTCACCAAATAGTGTGCAGGGTTGTCCGCATTATTAAATAACATTTATAGATATGTTGCTTTGTATGCGTCCCAATGCCTTTGAACGGGTTCTATATCCCACTTAGACTGCGTGTCTCCTGGAAGGTCAGAGACCCTCTTTATTTCTCACTTGCACACCCAGGTACAAGGTGTATACTCACTTCAGAGTCCTCAATGACTGAAGCAAGGGAAAAAGGATGGAGTGAAACACTCCTAATACTCAACCCCAGAGGAATATGGGTCTGTTCTAGAGGCAATCTCCGATATCTTGAACCCCAAATTCCCAAGAGAGGTCCCCAACCTCGGCAATGAGCCCAGAGCCAAGCCCTGTGCTAGGGCAGCTCTTTTTTCAGCCCTTACCACTATTACACTTAGCTTCATCACTCCCGTCTCCACAGTTATCCCGCTTATCACATTTCTGGCTCTCGGAGATACATTTTCCATTGCCACACCTGAAGGTCTGAGCTGGGCAGCCTGAAAAAGCACACAGCCTCAACAAACAGCTAATTGTTTCTCTCTATCCCATGACATCCCACTATTCAAGACAAGCCACCACTGTCCTAAAGGACAGTGGCGTCAAACTCAAATAGAAACGGATCTCAGTAGGCTACATATTGACTTCGAAAACCACAAATTAATATCACTTAGTAATTTTATCGATTTAATTAAATATCTGTTATATTTTAATATGGTTCAGGCCACAGAGTTTTGCCAATCACTTGTGGCCCAACTGCAAGTTTGAAACCTCCCCCGTAGGATACTGAAAAAGGGTCAACGGGGCAGGCATCAGCTTTGCCTCAGAGGAAAGAACCCAGGACCCTTCCCCAGGAGCCCCAAATGCCCAGGGAACCCTGAAGGGAATTACTCACTGCATTGCAGCTCATCACTGTTATCCCCACAGTCATTCAAGCCATCGCAGACCCAAAAGAGGGGCTTACAAAATTTGTTCTTGCAAGTGAACTGGTAGGTTGAGTTACACACTGTTGGAAGGATGAGATCAGAAGAGGCATGAGCAGCAGAGTGATGGAGGAACGAGGGCATTTTCACAAATGGGATTTAGGGGGCATGAATCTCATGTAGCACATCTGGTGATTCTCTAGGAAAGTTTAGCCAACTATCCATCTTCCGAAAGTAGAAGGGGGAAAAAATGCAATACCTAGAGTGTTCAGGGCTACAGAGCAAATGCTGCAGAAATGCTTCATGTCCAATTCAGGTAAAAGATTAAAGAGATTCACAAACCAGACTGGGGGATTGAAGAGAACCCGTGCTATACAGTTATCCCTTCCACATGGCAGGGGTTAGGGGCATGGCGACCCCACAATCTGAAATTCGAGTAATATTTTTTGACCTTCCTTTCATACCAATGAAGAAGTCTGAATAATTATGGTATTAAAAGATAAAATATGTTGCTATCATACAATACCATACATATATTTTGTGCATTTCTGAGTTTCTAAACTTTTTCTGTGTCATCTGCCGGCTTTAGCATGTCGTCTGCAGCTTCCACAAAACTCCCCCCAAATTCCCATTTAATTTCTTGTGCCAACCTGCGATATATCAAAACCATGATGGGGAAAGTCACAACTTGGAAGGGATAACTGTATTTCCACGTGAGGAAGGATCTCGCAGTCTGCTCGAGGTTCATCCTATGATAGGCACAGGACAGCCACTTTCTGGCGGGGAGGGAATGGGGATGGTCCAGCAGTATCCATGGGATTAAGGAGTCACGGGGTATTATCTTCCCATACAGGGCAAGGCAAGAGGCAGAGTGAGTGGGCAGCTGAGCTGGGGAAGGGTCACAAGGCCCGGGGCCACCATCTTGGAAACCAAGTCTATCTCATAGCAGACGCCCTGACTTACCACAGTCAAGCTCATCACTGAAGTCTGTGCAGTCAGCCCAGCCATCACAGCGCAGATTGTGAGCGATACAGCGTCCCGTTTTGCAGGTGAACATGCCAGGGCAGGCTGTGGGGGAGGGAGTGGAAGAAGAAAAGTGGGAGGCACGTGCTAGGCCTGCAGTTCTCATGCTAACTCTACTAACGCTGCCCTAGCAGACTGTTACCCCTCTCTATTAAAATCAAGGCATTTTTATAGTCACACAATGAGCAAAGAATGGAAAACAACTTCCATTTCATTCCGAGGCCAGCAGGGCTGGAAAGGCTCAGGGCAAGGACCGCCTGCTTCAAATATAAAACTCCCGGTCCCATCAATTGAGTGGATTTCTGAAAAACCCCTACTCAGCATCTAAGGGCAAGGACTATATATAACATGAGATAGCCCTGGACACCAGTGGATGCAGATCAGAGAATTCTAGTGAAATCTCTTTGGAAGGCTTAGACTCCCAGAGAGACCATGATAAATTAGAAAGGACACAAGACTGGGCATCAGGAGATCCTAGTTCTAATCCTGATTATGTCACTTGCTACCTGTGCACTCTTAGGTAAATCACGTGACCTTTCTGGGCCTCAATCTTTGTTATCTGTAAAATGCAGTCCAATGGGCCTGCCTTCCTTATCTCACCAGATCTTTGTGAGGATCAAATAAGATAATGGCCATAAAGTGTTTTACAAATATGAAAAAGGTAGAAAGCTCATCTTGGTCCAATTTCCAAACAAGTTAACTTTCCAAAGCCAACCCCTTCTTTACTCACGGTCACGGGAGTCATAGGAGAGGTACTCAGCGAAGAAACCTGTGTCAGTATAGGACCGATCCGAGTGGAAATGGACAGTGATCTTGTTACTCCTGCTGGACACCACAAACTGCGGCTTCTGTCCACAGAACCTGGAGGGGACGGGAGAGGACCGCTGGTGTGCACACTGCTGTGACCATTACTGAACCCCAGCCAATGGGGTGAAGGGCTTATGGGGCTAGGAAGTAGCAGGGGATAGAGTCCACAAAGCAGGCTGGGAAAATCCCCATTGGACAGCCAGAGTTCATAGACACCCCTGCGGGGGGGGAGGGGGGGCACAAAGCTGGGACCTGAGGGGAGGCTGAGGATCTGGCCACACAAGTGAGAGCAAGGCTCCCCCCTCTCCTCCACCAGAGAGGATTCTAGGTAGAGAGCATCTCTGAGAATTCTCAGGTTCCTCCCTATTTCCCCAGAACACTTACTTTTCCCCATTGATTTCCACATAGTCCTTGGTGCAGGTACCCAGGTTTTTGTTAGGTTCCACCAAATAGAAGATTTTGAAACGAATCTTGACATTTTTGTCGCGGGGGACCTGCAAAGGGAGGTGAAACTCAGCAACTGTTTCCCCTCACCTATCCCAACATCCTGTGAAGGAAAGTCCCCCTCTCACCACCCCTGCTCCTAAAAAAGGATCTAAATTTTCTCATTTCCTTCGTCAAATTCTTCATTATCTATCATTTCCTTCCCCTGACATTACCCCCAATATTGGCAGCACCAAAGACATTGAAAATATGGATAACAGTAACTCACATTCAGATTTGGTGGCCCAAAGATTTCATCGCAATCTAAGCTTTAATATCTTAAGCAGCTCAGAGCTGCACTAAGATTTGGGGCCATCCTATACAGTGCTTGCAAGTTCCCAAAGTCCTTTCTTCACAATGACTCTGACAGACAGGTAATACAAGTATGATTATCCCTGTCTTACATACGGGGAACCTGAGGGTCAAAGAGATGATGTGATTTGCCCACGGTCATAGCCCTAGGAAATGGCAGAGACTTGCAAGTCCAGGTCTTTTGATTCTGACCAAGTCTAACATCGTTTGGCTTAAATTGTGGCAGAAAGGCCATAGGTTAGATCAGGGATGGGGAACCTGTGGCCCTCTAGGTCCTCAAGTGCAGCCCTTTGACGGAATCCAAACTTCACAGAATAAATTCTGCCAAAAGGCTGCACTTGAGGACCTAGAGGGCCACATGTGACCTCGAGGCTGGAGGTTCCCCATCCCTGGAGATGTTTGGCAGAATTTTCTAACTGCAAGGGTGAGACACCAGAAATTGTTGCTAATTTCCAACACTGGAGGGTTGTTAAAGAAAAAGACTGGAATGACCTGGAGATCAGTCCTGCCTAGAAGACTGTCACTATCTCCTATAGCCCTCTTCAAGGTCCCTAACAACATGTAGCCTTTTCTCATCCCTTCTTCCTTCTCTCCTTCCTTATTCTACTAACTCCATAATTAGACACACCCAGCTCCTACCTCAATGTCCCATGTGCAGTCCATATTGGGGGGGTAGTGGCCTGGGTAGTAGGGGGTACTGAATGTGCCCTGAACTCCAGTTAGGCGACCTCCACATTCTGAAAGTCAAAACACAAGAAGCAGTGTGAGGGATCCAGAGTCAAAGAGTTTGAGTAGGAGGTATAAGAAAAGACAGATCAAATGGATTCCTTTCGATGAGAGCTTCTAGGTGAAAAGCCAAAGACACTGTCCTTTTTTTTTTTTTTTCTAATTTCTGGTGTGGGAGGAAGAGCAACGATGTGAGGACCTGAAAATTCTGTGTGGTGGCTGGACATACCAAAGCCTTCACTGGCTTCCTTGAAGGCGGTCCTCTAAACCCAAGCTGCTGATTCAACTTGATAGTCAGCAGATAAAGAACAATATCCGAAGGCTGGAGTTCTTAACCTTTTTTGTGGTATGGACCCCTTGGCAGTCTGGTAAAGCCCATGTCAGAATAATGTTCTTGGAATGCATAAAAGACATATGATTACAAATACAATTATATTAAAATACAGTTATCAAAATATTTTCTTAAAAAAAATTTACAGACCCCAGGTTAAGGACCCCTGCCCTAGAGGCTCCAGTATTACATATTTCAAATCATCCCTTAGCTGCCCCTTAGCTGGCCCTCCAGACTCCACTTTCCCAAGCAGCCAAGGGTTTCAATTGAATTCGGTAAGCATTTTTTTTTCAGTAAGCATTTATTAAGAGCCTACTATATGCTGGTCACTATGTGAGGAGTTGGGTTATAAAGACAAAAAATAGTCTCTGCCCTCTAGGGGCTCACATTGTACTGGGAGAAGAGAAGTAGGGAAGAGGGAAAAAAGAACATACATACAAATAAATCAAAACAAAATCTACAAAGTAAACTGAAAGTCATTTGGAAGGAGGGAAGCAAAAACAATTGGGAATATCAGCAAAGGCCTTATATGGGAGATGGAAACTGAGCTGAGCCTTGAAGAAGGGAGCTTGAGATTCTAAGAGGCCGAGGTGAGGAGGAAGTATGTTTCAGGCATGTGGGACAGCTCATGCAAAGGTACAGAGAAAAGGGCTGGAAAGCTGTGTTTGAGGAACAGGAAGTAGGCTGAGCTAAGCTGGACCAGAGAGTGCATGAGAAGTCATGTGAAATTAGTCCAATCCCATAGTCAAGGATGATAATTTTTTTGTCACAATCTGGGAAGCCAGATTGCAAAAGGCTTTAAATGCTACACAAAGCAGTTCGTGCTTTATTTGAGATACAACAGGAAGTCACTGCAACTTCTTAAGCAGGGGAGGAATGTGGGGAGGAACGTTTTTTAAGAAGATCAATTTGGCAGCCATGTAGAAAATGGATGAGAGAGTGGAGAGGCTTAAACAGAAATCATCTGTGCTCTGTTGTTAAGCATGCCCTATGTGGGCGGCAGCAGCATCTTCTAGGGAAGGGGTTCTTAATCTGAGGCCCCTGAAGTTATTTTTTAATATTTTATATTAATACAAATATAACACCTTATATTTTAATAGAGTTGGTTACCTTTGTAATCCTATGTATTTTGTTTTACGAATTTAAAAACAGTATTATGAGGAGGGGGCCAAAGACTTTACCAGCCAACGGGTTCCATGACACACAAAAAGTTAGGAGTCCCTCCTCCAGGGTTTCCATACAACCCCCACCTCAATTCTCTTGTTGTTGTTTAGTTGTTTTCAGTTGTGTCTGACTCTTCATGGCCCCTTTTGGGGTTTGCTTGGCAGAGGTACTGGAGTGTTTGCCATTTCCTTTTCCAGCTCATTTTACTGATGAGGAAATCGAGGCAAACAGGGTTAAGTGACTCACCCAGGGTCACACAGCTGGTAAGTGTCTATGGTCGGATTAGAACTCAAGTCTTCCTGAGTCCAGGCCCGGCACTCTATCCATTGTGCCACCCAGCAGCCTACCCCATTCCCCTCACACCACTACCCCAAACCCTCTCCTTACCAGTCATCTTGGGCAACTGGAAAAACACTGCCTTAAAACCAGGGTGGCGCCGCACAGTGTTGGTGATGAGTGTGACAAGCATGACATTCTGAGAGGAGAGGAAGGTCAGGTTGTAGGAGGGAGGGTAAGTGCCACATAGCCTGCAAGATGGGAAGGAGGGAGAGCTTGAGAGAAGAAGATGCAGGTGAACCACCCCATGCATCCTTCCCCATCTCCAACTGGATCTTAACCTTGGCTCTAACCGCCAACATTTCAGGAATCAGATTTAGTGACCACTGAGCCATGCCCCCTATACACAGTCAATGCTCCACCCCGGGTCTGACAACTGAGCTGAGATGATAGCTTGGTTTGGGGAGTCCACTGACAAAATTGCTTCTGAAATGTTCCATGTTTGAATCCTCAGAACATTATTCTGTAACTCACTCCAAACACTGTACCTGTTCCTTGTTTTAGACCAGGGGTTCTTAACTTTTTGGGGTATCTTGGACCCCTTTGGCAGTTAGGTAAAGCCTGTAGAGCCTTCTCAAAACAATGTTTTTAAACACAAAATAAAATACAGAGGATTGCAAAGGAAACTAATTATATTGAAAAAGAGTTATCAATACAATAAAAAAAAAAAGTTCATGGACCCCAGGTTAAAAGCCACTGCTTAGGAGTAGCTAAGTGGTATAGTGGATAAAGCACCCGTCCTGGAGTCAGGAGGATCTGAGTTCAAATCTGGCCTCAGATCACACTAGCTGTGTGACTCTGGGAAAGTCACTTAACCCTGGTTGCCTTTAAAAAAAAAAAAAAAGCTCCTGCATTAGAAGTTATAGAATGGCCTTTAGCTAAAAGCAATGATATACTTCTACACTACAAGACCAATGCCTTAAACTTACCCTGCAGCAAATGAGATGACATGCATAAAGTTTTTGCAGCCCTTAATGTGACACAGAAACGCTCGCTAATATGATCATTACATCTCATCGTCTCCCTATCGGCTCTCCTCATGCTACCCTGGTCTCCTTAGAAAATCAACCTGTTTGTTACCTTGCCCTCAAAGTATGGCAAGAGGCTCCAGCCCCAGCATACTCACTGCACCACAGCTCGAGGTTCCACAGGGCTCAGGGAGTCATATACCGTGACCACATCACTCCCAATATCATCACAGGCTGCGACATCAAAACTTTCAAAGGTAAGGCTCAGCACCAGGTCAGCATCTCCACGCAGAACCCACTGGCAGCGGGCACGAGCGGGGTAGGGGCTGTCTGGGAATCCTGGAGTGGTGAAGCGGGTCACCTCACCAGACCGGGCATGTAGGGAAAAGCTGCAGCTGTCTGCACAGAAGAGAATTAAAAATGAGAGAATTTGAGGGAGGGAACAAGAAAGAAACAGAGAGACAGACATAGATATAAAGAAAATACATATAATATGTACAAAATAAATATAGGATAAAGGGGGGAGGATACTAGCAACTGCCAGGTGTGATGCAAATCAGGAAAAGCTTAATGGCAAAGGAATACAATCTGAGTTTTGAAAGAAACAAGATTCTCAGAGGCAATGGTGAGGAGAAAGGGCACTGTATGCTTGGGAGATAGGAGGTAGAGGCTCTCACATGAGGAACAGCAAGATGGTAGGTCTAGTAGGAAAGTGGGTAATGTGTAATAAGGTTGTTGGAAAGGTACATTGGCACAATAATGATGTGAGGGAAAACAACTTTAAAAGACTTCAGAACTCTGATCAAAGGAACAACCAACTAATCATAACTTCAAAAGATTGATGATGAAATATACCACCCACCTCCTGGCCTAAAGCTTTTAAATTAGAATTACAAAAGGAAACTTGTAGTCTCAGACACGGACAATGTGCTGGTAATCTTGTTTGACTATATAAATTTGTTATAAGAGAGGGCTTCTATTTGGGGAAAAGGGTGAATTAGTGGGTGCTGACATACATGGCGAAAAAAAGAAAGAGCATCAATTAAACATTTTTAAATGCCCAAAGAAGACAAAAAGTGCAAAAGGGGACATAAACTGAACAATTTTGTTACTATCCTGTTAAATTTTATATATCTTACAAAAAAGAGGTTTGATTTCCAAACATAATTCTCTTTCTTATTCTTTATACAGTGAAATATTTGTGTTTACTTTGAAAGACTTAAGAACTCTGATCAATGCAATGCAGTGACCACTCACCATTCCAAAGGACTAATGATGAGGCATCCTACCTACCTCCTGCCAGAGAGATGATAAGCTCAAGGTACAGAAAGAGATAGGTGTTTTTAGACTTGGCCAATGCAGGAATTTGCTTTGCTTAATTCTTCATATCTGTTACAAGGGTTTTACTTTTCTTTTTTTTAATGGAGGGAAATGAAAGAGAAAATAAATTTTTGTTTATTGAAAAAAGATTTAATTTTAGAAAAAGAATTCTAATCAGTGTAGTGATCAACCACAGTTGGGCACTGAAAGAACCAGCAAATATAAATGCTGAGCCTCTATCAATGATCTCTAGAAAAAGAACAGAAGTATTGCAGGTATGGAGAAAGTAAATTTCCCCTAACACCCCCATCCAATTTTCAAAACAAAAAACAAGAAAAACAAACCAAAAAAAGCATAAGAAAGTAGTCTTTAAACTCGAGGCTAGATGGCTTGACTTCAGTTACTTTCAATTGTTAAAGGGATGGGGTATCAGCACTGAGAAAGAGACGCAGTGACCACTAGGGACCAACATAACTACATCAGGAACAGACTGTGCCAAACTAAATTAATTTCCTTTCTTGATGAAGTTTCTAGATTAATCAATCAGTAGAAAGCCCTGAACATAATACACTGATATTTTAGAACATCATTTAACAGAGTCTCTCTTGATGATCTTGTGGACAAGTGGATAGATGTGTGGTAGATGTTAGTATAGTTACATAAATTCAGAACTGGTTAAATGAATATGCCCACAGATTAGTGATTAATGGATCTGTGCCATTGGGAAAGCAGGGGAGGGAAGATGTCCTATAAAATCCTACAAGGATCTGTCCTGGGAGTTGTCCTGCTTAAGATTTTTATCAGTACCTTGGATAAAAGCATAGTTAATATACTTATCAAATTGACAGATGTCACAAAACTAGGAAGAACCATTACATGCTGAACAAGAGAACTGGGACCCAAAATGATAGCTAAGAATAGCCAAATCCAATGTGATGAAATTTAACAATCACCAATGCAAAGACCTACACTAGAGTTCAATCAGCTGTGAAAGTACAAGATGGGGAAGTATAGCTGGACAACAGTTTATATAAAAAGTTTTAGTGAACTTCAAGCTCAACGTGAATCACAAAGTGACCCAAATAAAGCTGATGCAATCTTAGGCTGCACTCATAGAAGCGTACTGTCCAGAATGAGGGAAACGATCATCCCAGCTATTCTCTGCACCCTGCTCAGACCACATCTGAGGTATGGGCCTGCTTCTTGGCACCACATTTTAGGAAGTACGTGGGCAATAAGAGCCAGTCTAGACAAGTGTGACCGGGGTGGAGCGAGAATTAAAGAGCATGCCACAGAAAAATGACTAGAAATCAGAAATGTTCAGTCTGGAAGAGAAGAGGTAAGGTGTATGTGGTAGGTATCTTTTTTTCTTTTTTTTTTTAAGGCAATTGGGGTTAAGTGATTTGCCCAGGGTCACACAGTTAGTAAATATCAAGTGTTTGGTCTGAGGTCCGATTTGAACTCAGTTCCTCCTGACTCCAGGGCCGGTGCTCTATCCACTACACCACCTAGCTGCCCCTGCGGTAACTATCTTGAAGTATGAAAGAAGAATTTAACTAAGAACAACAGATAAAAGCTGCAGATAGGTAGATTTCAGTAAACCTGATAGAAGGTAAGATTTCCAAGCAGTAAAAGCGATCCAGAAGTTTAATGGCTTTCCTTGAGAGGAAGATGGTTGACTATCACTGGATGTCTTTAAGCAGATACTGGGCAATCCCTTTCTAGAGGCGGGTCATAAAGGGGATCCCTGAGCAGAGACAGCCTAGATTACATGACATCTATGGTCCCTTCTGGAGATACTGAGATCTTCTAATTCTGTGAGAGCAGATGATTAGAGGACTAAGGAGAAATCCCTAAGTATTTATTGTCTGGCGGCTTGTGCCCCTGGAAACTACTTTGTGTAGCATCATCACAAAGACTGTGCCTTGAGGACAGCACCATCCTAGACACAGGAACCTGAAATGAGCTTCCACCTCTGAGAACTGAAGAGGTGACAGGGAGTTGCTAACAGCTACCACTAGGCTTTGAACACATCTCTGCCATTTTCCCCAGCAAGAGAAGTCGACATCTAATCAACAAACATTCATTAAGTGCCTACTATGTGCCAGACACTGGACTAAATTCTAGGGATACAAAGAAAGACAAAATCAATGCCTGCCCTCAAGGGGCTCACACTCTAACAAAGGAGACAGCAAGAAAACAACTATGTACAAACAAGCTAAATACAGAATAAATTGGAGATAATCAACACAGGGAAGGCACTAGCATTAAGGAGAATTGAGGAAAGACTTCCTGTAGAAGGTGAGATTTTAGCTGAGACCTGAAGGTGCTAGTCAAGCCAGGAGGCAGGGAGGAAGAGGGAGAGCATTCCAGGCAATATTACTTACTGTCTCGTGTTGTCTGTGCTGTTCTGGCGTCAGTGGCTAAGAAAGGAAGAGAAAGAGTAGACTATTTATGGGGTCTGTGTATTTCCTTCTCTCCTGCTTCCTTATTACCCTAAAGGGAGGAACTCTGTCAATAAGCCAAGAACTCAGATCCCCAATGCAAGACTGCTGGATCTGCCTATTCTATTAAAAAAAAAAAAAAAGGGATTCTATAGATTGACCCTTGAAGGACAGATCTGAACCTGCCAGGGTTTGACTCAGCCCTTGTCTTTTCCCCATCCCTCCTTCTAGTCCTTCCTTCTCTATTCTTTGTTCCTATTCACTCTGGTTCATCCATTCACCTCTAAGCCCAGAACTCACGGAAAGCCACAATTGAAGCCACGTTGAAGGACTGCAAGGACCGGGACCTGGGGGGTAGCGACAGGACATATTCTTTTGATATGGCTCGCTCAACTTCCTCTACCATATATTGGGGGACACTGAATTCTGACCAGTAGTAGGCAATTACACTGCCCTCACTGAAAAGAGAGAAGGATGTGAAAGAATTAGGTTTGTCAATCAGTCAGTTAAGCACCCACTGTGTGCTAGGCACTGGGTTAAGCATTGGGGATACAAAGAAACACAAAAGATAGTCCCTGCTCTCAAGGAGCTCAGTCTAATGGAGGAGACAACATGTGAACAACTATGTACAAACAAGATGTATACAGGATAAATTGGGAGTAATCAATGGAGAACAATCACTAGAATTAAGGTCTGTGTCTGCAGAGAGTAGCGGAAGGGTCCTGACTCACATAGATGGGCTCTAGAACCACCCAAACTAGATCATAAATACACCCTCAGTTCATACCCTGATTTAGAACCTCCAGTCTTTTCTCCCCAGCTCTCTAGACAAGAAAGGTGTCTATGTCCCCAAGAAAGTGTGGCAGTGGACAGAGCCTCAGACGTGGACTCAGGAAGACCTGGGTTTGAATTGTGCCTCAAACATTTACTCGGTAGATGACCATGGGCATGTTACTTAACCTTTCTCAGTAAATCGGGGATAATAATAGTACTTCATGGGATTGTTGGGAAGATCAATTAAGACAATTAAAGCACTTTGCAAACCTTATGAGGCTCAGTAAATGTCAATTCTTATTATTACTGTTGATATTCCAGCTTCTCTCTAATTAGACTTTATTAAGTAATAACAGCCACTTGCATTTATGCAGAGCTTTAAAGTTTACAAAGTGCTTTCTTTTCCACAATCTTCACAACAGACTCTCATAAAGGGGAAGTGACTTTGCCCACAATGACATGGCTGGAAAAGGTCAGAGATCAAATTTGAACTCAGCTCTTCGGAATCCAAGTCTGGGACTCTTTCCACTATACCTTCCGTCCCCATGTAGAAGATTATTTCCTTGTTCCTCTAGGGCTCTAGCCATCTGGTATTGGCTCATTTGCCATACCAGAACCCAACCAAGGGCTAATTCAGGTTTAGAATGACCCACTTGTATCTCCAAATGAGAATAATGGTAAGGGCTCCCCTATGGCTCATATAACCCACACTGCCAATATTCCTCAGGTCACCTAAATGGAAATTCTGAATGACTCCTACCACCCCAGTCCATTTGCAGAAGGGACAGGTCACTCCCAATTAAAGACGCTTTGCTTTTTCTTTTTTGATCCTCTTGCCCCATCTCCCACCTACCCTCTACCCCCGGGACCTTACCTGAAGGCTGTTACTCCAGATTCCTTGTAGAAGGGCCCAAGGGCTGGTATCCCATTGTATAAAACCTTTAGCTGCCAAGGAGCACAAGGTGGACAAAGAAAATGGAAGAAGAAGAGAGAAAGGTCACAGCAGACCCCACTGACTGGCTTGGACATTCCCTGCATTTCATACCCACCCTACCCAGGAACCCTATGTCTATTTTCAGACACCTTCCCACTCTTGACAGTGCTCTTGACAGACCAATACTCAACCCCAGTGTCATTAATGGGAATGGAAAGACATAGAGAGGCAAGGCAGCTATGCCTCCTCGCCTGGAGAGTTTCATCCTGGAAGAGGTAGCTTACCGCTTCCTTAACCTTGCTGGCCAGGTTTGCAAATTCTGTGGAGTTGGAATTCTCATAGGCATCTATAAAGTTCTCATTTGTAATCCTCAGGTAACCATTGAAGATTTTCTGCATCCGTGCATTCTGAGCTACAAGAAACCAAGGAAAGTAAAACAAGTGAGAAGATTGGGGCTTTGCCTTCCACCAGTCCACTATTTTAGACTCTCCCTCCATCAATGTCCCACCATCACATAAGGTGGCCGAGCTAGATGGACTCTGAAGTCCTTTCCAGTTTGAGCTCTAAAACGTTAGGTCCAAGGACATTTGCCCCACGTCAGCAATGCCAGGAGATGGGGCAAAGCAATGAACCTACGTCTCTCCCCCCATCCCTTATCCTATTACACCAACTCTCTGGGGTCTCCTAGCTTAGACTCCAAAGTCTAGAGGAATCCAAGAAGAGGACACCTAGTCTGGTCTGCTCACCTAGACAGAGGTGTCAAACATGTGACTCCAAGGGAAGCCCAAATCAGATTAAAATGTAATTGGGAAATATTTAATAAAATAAATAAAAATACAATTAAACATATAATATTAATGTGTGGTTTTCTAAGTCAATATGTGGCCCACAGGGATCCTTATGTCTAAGTTAGTGGCCTCCATGTCTATTCAAGTTTGAGATCACTGGCTTAGACTACAAGTAATTATAAACTGCCCATCCCCAACCATTATTTTTCCATCAGACCACCACTCAGGCTTTCCACTGCCCCCACCCACTGACCACTGCCTCTAACTATTAGTATATTAATGGCACCTTTTCCTGTACTCACAATTAAAATGCCACACCAAGATTCCAACCATAAGGGACAACAGGATGAAGAAGATCACCAATGCCAGCAGCACAATCCAGCGCTTCGGTCCACGTTTTTCCACTTTCCTTGAATTGTTAGCTGGCAAGAATTCCACTCCTTCCTCAAAGCCATTTATATTCTAGAATGGAGGAGAGAGAACAATAGAATCATTCGTTTAAACCTGGAAGAGCTTCAAGGTCATCTAAATCAACCCACTCAAATTAATAAATAAAAAAAAAAAAACTGAGACCCAGAGGAGTAAAGTGGATTAGCCAAGAAATAAGTGACAGTGCCAGGACCTGAATTCAGATCATTTGACTCTAAGGCAGTTAAGTGGCACAATGGAAAGAGCACCTGCCCTGGAGTCAGGAGAACCTGACTTCAAATCCAGCCTCAGACACTTACGAGCTGTGTGACCCTGGGCAAGTCACTTAACCCTGTTTGCCTTAGTTTCCTCATGTAAAATGAGCTGGAGAAGGAAATGGCAAACCACTTCAGTATCTTTGCCAAAAAACAAACAAACAAACAAACAAACAAACAAACAAACAAACAAACAAACAAACAAACAAACCCAAATGGGGTCATGAAGAGTTAGACACAACTGAAAACGACAATATGCTCCAGGCACTGTGCTAATTATTGAGAATACAAAGAAAGGCAAAAGACAGCCCTTTCTTTCAAGGACTTTACAGTCAGGCCAAGGACAGAGCCTCGGGGCACACACATAGTTAGTGGGCATGACCTGGGCCTAGCAACGGGAATAAAGAGCAGTTCAGACAAGTAGGAAGTAAAGCAGCAAAAATCAGCTTACAAAAACCTAGAGAGGAGAAAGTGTCAAGGAGAAGAGGGTGATTAGAAGTGTCCAAAGCTGCAGAGAGGTCAAGAAGGATGAAGGTTGAGAAAAGGCCACTCAATGTGACAATTAAGACGCTACTGAATACCAATAGAAATTGCTCTTTCAAAGATCAGCAACAATCTCTTAACTGCTAAAGCAACTTTCCCCCTCAGTCTTCATCAGCCATGACCCTTCTGGCCCCTTTGACATGGCTGACCAATCCCCTAATTTTTCCTCCCTTGGTCTTGGGGACATTAGTCACTCTTGGTTCTCCTCCTGCCTTCTGAGGCTCCTTTGTAGGATCATCATTCATGTCCCATGCCCTGAGTGTCCCCTGGACTCTGTTCCGAGTCTCTATTTTCTATCTATCTCTGCTCTCTCAGTGCTCTCATCATGTCTCACGGATTCAATTGCCATCTCTAAACAGATTACTCCCAAACAGCCATAACCAACCCTGATCTCTCTTCCGAAATCTCATCCCTCACTTTCAATCAAGTATTTATTTAGCACTTCTGTGCCAGGCACAGTGCTAGGTGTTGGAGATATAAGTACAAAGAATGAAACAATCCCTACTCACAAGGGACTTACATTCTAACGGGAGAGACAAGTACATAGAAAAATATTTATAGTAAAAATATGAAACTAAAAAAATGTATACAAAGTAGTTAAATATGAGTTAGGGAGAGAAGGCATTAGAGGTTGGTGGGAATGGAGGGGGTCAGAAAATGGTGCTTCACTGCATCTTAAAGGAAGAGAGAGGGGCAGCTAGGTGGCGCAGTGTATAGAGCACCAATCCTGGAGTCAGGAGGACCTCAGTTCAAATCCAGCCTCAGACACATAACACTTACTAGCTGTGTGACCCTGGGCAAGTCACTTAACCCCAACTGCCTCACACAAAAAAAAAAAAAGGAAAAGAGGTATTCTGTGAGGCATAGGATAAGAATGAAATGCTAGTCATGGGGAATAGACCTTTGCAAAGGCACAGAGATAGGAATGTCACGTGTGATGAACAGAAAGGAAACCTAGTTTGCCTGGTTCACAAAGTGCAGCCAATGAGGATGGAAAGATAGGCTGCAGCCAGGCTATTAAGGGCCTTAAAGGCTAAACAGAAAACCACTGGAGTTGGATAAGTGTAGGAGGCAGACAATCAGATCTGTGCTTAAAGAAAATTACTTTGGCAGCAGGGTATAGGATAGACTTGAATGGCAACAGATGACACAGAGAGACCAATTAGGAGGCTGCTGCAATATTCTAGGCTCGAGGTGATGAGGTCCTGAACCAAGGTAGAACCTGTCTGAGTGGAAAGGAATCAATATCTGAGAGATGTGAAGGTCTAAACGGCCAAGATTTGGCAACTGATTGCATATGCAGGGTGAGGGAAAGTAAGGAGTCTAGGATAATGCCAAGATTATGAACTTGAGAGAATAGAAGGATTGTAGTGTCTTAGACAGAAATAATAATAATAATAATAATAACAATAATGTTTAGTTGTTTTTCAGTCATGTCTGACTCCATGACCTCTTTTGAGTTTTTCTTGGCAAAGATGCTGGAGAGATTTGCTATTTTCTTCTCCAGCTCATTTTACAGATGAGGAAATTGAGGCAAAAAGGATTAATTGACTTGCTCAGCTAATAAGCATCTGAGGCCAGATTTTAACTTCGATCTTTTCCTGATTCCAGACCCAGTGTTCTATCCACTGCATCACCTAGCTGTCAGTAGGGTATTTTGGGAAAGAGAATGGTTTAGGGTGAAAGTTTCCCTGCAAACATGTTGATTTTAAAATGTCTCTGGGACATCCAGTGTGAAATGTATAGTCAATTAGCGATTTGTGATTGAAACTCAAAGGAAAGACTAGGGAAGTAAATACAGATCTGGGAGTCATCTGCAGAGAGATGATGTGCAGATGACTGGATAGAAGCATCCACGGGATGCAAAGAGGTTACCAAGAAAGAGTATAAAGGAAGAAGAGGGCCTACGGCAGAACTCTGGCAAACCCCCACAGTTAGGGAGGGGCGTGATGAGGATGATGAGCCAGCAGAAGAGAGTGATGGATGGGAGGAGGACAAGGAAAGAGAACAGTCATAAAAACCCAGAGAGAGAAGGGATTCCTGGAAGAAGGAGATCAATAATTTATGCAACTGATGGGTTGAAAAGAATTAGGCCTGAGAAAAGATTATCAGATATGGCAATTGAGAAATCACTGGTAACTTTGGAAAGAGCGATTTCAGCTGGAAGCCTGGATGCAAAAGTGTTCAGGAGTGAGAGAAGATGAAGACGAAGATGAAGATGAAGAAGAAGAAGAAGAAGAAGGAGAAGATGAAGGAGAAGGAGGAGGAAGAGGAGGAGGAAGAGAAGGAGAAGCAGCAGGAGAAGATGATGATGATGATGATGATGATGATGATGATGATGATGATGATGTTGATGATGATGTTAGACATCTTCACCTGGATGCACTGTAAGCATCTCAAACTCAACATGTCCAAAGTAGAACTCATTATATTTTCCTCCAAACCCTCTCTAAACTTCCCAATTTCTGCCGAGGCTACCCCTATCCCTTCTGTCACCCAGGTTCCCACTCTTGAAGTCATCCTTGACTTTTCCTCCCTCCCGACTACCCTATCAGTTGCTAATTCTTATTGACTCTAGTTCTACCACATCTCTGACATCTATCAGCTTCTCTGCACTCAGGCTCTACCTCACTTCATACTCTCCTGAACTCTCACATCACTATCTGCCTTCTGGACATCTAGAACTCAATGTCCAGTAGATATCTCAAACTCAGCATGTCCAAAACAGAGCTCCCCTTTCCCCTCAACCTTCCCTATTACTGTCAAGGGTATTGCCATCCTCCCAGTCAGCTAGGCTCACAACATGACATCATCCTCAACTCCTCATTCAAACTCACCCCACACACCCCATCTGTTGACAAGTTCTGTTATTTCTACCTTCCTAACATCTGTAGTACATGCCCCTTTCTCTCCACTTACACAGCCCTCATCCTCATCTGGACTACTGGAATAGCCATATGATTGATTTCCCTGCCTCAAGTTTCTCCCTCACTCTACTCAGCTGCCAAAGTGAAGATTCTGACCATGTTACCCCTCTCTACTCAGTAAACTCCATTGGCTTGCTGTCGCCTCCATGACCTGGTCCCTCCTTCCTACCTTTCTAATCTCCTTATACTTGATTCCCTTCCAGGTTCCGTAATACTGGCCTTCTTACTGTTCCTTGCACACAACAACACTTCTCAACGACCAAGTCTTTTCACTGGCTGTCTTCTATGCCTGGAATATTCTCCCCCACTTCTACCTTTTGGCTTCCTTTAAGACTCAGCTTAAAAGCCACCTTCTGAAGGATTCCTTTCCCATTCTCTATACCTTCCTCTGATGTCATTCTCCATCCTCTTCTGTCATCCTCTGAGATTACCTCCTTTTATTTATTATAGATTACCAAACAGATAACACTGTACATATTTGTATATACATAATTATTTGCATCTTGTCTCCCTCATTAGAAGTTCCCTGAAGTCATCAACCATTGTTTTGCCCCTTTTTTGTATCCCTGAACTTAGTTCAGTGCCATGGCACATAGTAGGTGCTTAATAAGTGACTGTTGGCTTACTGACTGACTACAATAGTTTCCTGATTAATCTTCTTGATTCCATCTCTATCCTCTCCAATCCATCCTCCATGCAGGTTCCAAATTGGTGTTCTCTCAGGCAGCAACCTTGTGTGACGACCAACTATGATAGACTTAGTTCTTTTCTCATCAATACAATGACCCAAGGCAAGTCCAAAAGACTCGTGATGGAAAATGCTATTCACATCCAGAGAAAGAACTGATGGAGTGTGAATGCAGATCAAAGCATACTATTTTCACTTTCTTTATTTTTTTTCATGGTTTTTTCCTTTTATTCTGTTTCTTCTTTCACAACATCACTAATATGAATATGTTTTACATGACTACACATATATAACCTATATCAAATTGCCTACCATCTTAGAGAAGGGGGAGGGGAGGGAAAAATGTGGAACTCAAAATTTTATATAAAAATGAATGTTAAAAATTGCCATGTAATTAGAAATTACTACATAATTAGAATTACATGTAATTAGAAAAAAATAAAATACTATCTACTGGGGGAGGGACAAATTGGTGTTCTCTAAACAAAGATCTGACCATGTCAGTCCCTAACTCAAAACTCTCCAATGCATTCCTGCTATCTCTATTTTAGAACTTCCACAATCTGGCTCCCATCTACGTCTGCAATTTAATTTCATATTGCTCCCATTTATACGTCCTCC